TCCAACAATAAAGTCTTCTGGTGTTCAAAGAGCAAAACGAAGGCTTTAGTCGTCATTGTTGTTTAAGGTTAGTTACAATTATTCGTCCTTGAGGACTTTTGTAAGTTTTGTTGTTATAGAATTATATGACTCAGGGTTTTTAGTCGTAATAGTAATATAACATTATGTCTTTGCCATTTTACTTAGAAATAAACTTTAATGAATCATGTTGTGGCTCGTCAAATATTTTTATAACGTCTGGGAAACTATAATTTTAACGTTCAACGCTTTCACTCCTTTCATAAAGTATATCTTGTCAATGACATTATTAATGAAAACACCACAGCCAAACCAAAAAAAATGGTCGCGGTTTATTTTCTTTGAATGTTTATATCGTTGCCTCTGTCCAAAAGTTTTCAATATAGTTCTTTCAAAACTTCATGAGGTGCAATTGACATTATGATGTTTCACTTTTTACAGGGTTGTGTTCGACCCAAGTTTAACATTATCTTAAAAGCTTGACAAAATCTCTCCTGAGTTTGAAGTTTGTCTTTCAGTTTGTTGTAGTCGGTTTCGATATCTGCAACAGAACTTAGTCCCTCTGTTTTAACTTCAAGTGATTATGTTTAGGTTCTTTTACAGGAACAATTTGTTAATAAACCATCTTTCGTCTTCGCTATGGTTTCCCCACTTCAACATCTCTGTCGTTTGACATGACAATAACACTTTGACTGTTTGTTTTGGCGGTTTGTGTGAATTTAAACTTAAACATCTGCCACCGTGCCCATTAAACCTTTGAAACACTTACACTTCTATTTTTTCGGAAATGAACATTTTACTTAGAATAAAAAGATGGACGTATTTCGGATATCTTATTGAATTGAAGCAGAACAAAGGTTTATACTACAAAACAATACAAATACATTGACGAATAGTTTCTTTACGACAAACAATGGAAAATGTTAATAGAAATAGCAGTCTTTGCTGAACCTAAATATTTTCATAAAGCCAAAAGAAGTTGGTAATTAACTGAAAATGTGTGAAAGTTCTTGAAGCAGAACAAAAAGTATTAACTCAAAACTTACAGATATTACTAAAGGAAAGTTTATAATACATATTAATGTCAAACTGCGTACTGTCCCAATATTTGTGACGGAGAGAAGTCAGTTCAAGAAACAACTTTACTGACCCTGCTGCTCAACATATCTGCTCGCATGGAAGCTGTCGTTATGCCAATCTGAGGAGCCCCAGCAGGTTTCATCGAACGAATTATCTTCAAAAGAGCATTCTTCCGTGAAAGTGCTATTGGTTTTGTAAACTTCTTTGCTCTCAATATTCATCTGGACCGTCTATGTCACCAGTATATTGTATTTGAACTTGTACAACAGTTGAAATACTACCATAAAGTCTTCCTGAGTCAGCAAATGGAAATTGCCAAGCCAAAAGTTGAACGGTCCTCCAATTTGTAATTGAGTTTTTTTGACCTCCTGTAGAGTCCATACTTTCACGATATGCTTGCATAATAGAACTTTGCATTTCAGGGTTAATAGTTGTGTGTGAAGTTGTTGTTAAAATTCATCAGCATCTAATGTCAAGTTGTATGACCTCATATCCTCAACTGTAGAATATTCTTCTCTGGATAATATTTTGCCATCTAATGTTTATATGATATTTAATACCAGGGTTGTAGAAACAAGAATAGTCCATTTATAGTTCGTCTGAACACGTACAAAACATAGGTATATGCATGTTTCATTGCAGTTGTTAAGGCAATATCTGTTCTTGCACCTGCGGCTCCTGGATTTTGGTTTCCAATTCACCTGCAAAAAGTCTTTGACAGATATTATTGTGCATGTATAGGGAACATAAGTGGCAACATGCATATATTTGGCAGCTAAAGCATTTTAAATATCTGGTCCACATATAGATGCAAGTTTGCTTTCTATCTCTTGCATTCAATATTTTTCGCATGTAGAACTTAACTGCCGGTCCCAAGCAAGTTCAGCAGCATTGCGAAATAATAGTTACTTCATTGTTGAAGTTTGAGAAAACCAAAGTCTAAGTCAACTTTGTCTTTGCCAAAATTTCACGAATGAACGTTTGATTTTGTTCCCTTTACGTCTGTAATAGTTGAATGGGTTCCTTGTGTTGGTGCAGATGACTAGTTATTTTTGCTTGGAGTATAGTTCGATTATAGAAATTTTTCCTGCCCCAGTTTTGGCAGTATCTTAAAAACCTGAGATGAGGAAAGATGACAAAGGAAACTCTAAAGTTTCAGTTTTTACTTTAGTGGCAGCTAGTTCCATCTGGACCAGAAAGGTTTAACACAAACCCTGGAACGTTAGGGTTCAAGTCTTCTTATTTTTCTCAATAGTTGCATACTGGTCTGGTTTGTTCTCTAGCTTTGTGGTCTGTACTGAGTTTTCTCAAAGCGAACCATTCATAGTTTGCCCATGTTACTGTATTGAACTATCAGAGTTAGGAATATATTTATATCCCATGAAAACTTCTGGAAGCATATTGGTACCGACATTAGAAATTCCATTGCAACCTTTCTTGTCAGACAACTGGAAGAAGGCTTTTATTTCAAATGTCATTGTTCCAACGTTATAAGAATGAGTTTTCCAATAGAAATAATATGAAACCTGTCGCAAGCAATATCTACTGTTGTTTGAAGAACCTTCCCAAACTCACCTACGTTTCCATAGAGAAACAGCAGTTGTATATTCGTTAAGTTCAGCGAACTAATTTCTGACCTTCTAATGGCATTATCGCATTCGTTATACCATTCCGGAAACATTTTCCGTTCATGGCATCCAAAAACTGTTTGGCGTTTATATTCTGAGCGCGTACATTTCATCATGGGTAAAAACTATAGAATATTTTGGATTATATGGTCATAATAGAACTCCACTCGGCACCAAGCTTTACTTTCTCCTGACTGAGTTTTAACTGAATCTTTAACTCTTCTTTTTCCTTCATTGCCACTACTTTCACTAGATGAAGTTATTCTTCACTACTTTCACTTGTTTCTACTATTTCTCTTCTTCTTGGTGTCGCTTTTGGCTTAACTTGCCCTCTGCCTTCAAGTTTGTCAGTCATCTTAATGCCTCATGTTCACCTAGTATGCTTGTAAATTTCCCATGTCCTTTGCCCTTTGGGCTCTTGGTCTCGCCCCATTCTCAGGTAACCTATATCTAGAAGATTTTGTCATAGTTTGTTATGAGTCTTTCGCTATTGTTTTGCAATGACTCTTCCTGCAGTTTTCCGGTTCAAGCTCTTTCAAACAGCAGCTTGTCCATATGGCCGAATAAAGCTCGTTTCCAAATATATGTTTTGTAGCCATTCTGCGTTTTCTTTCCATGTACACCAATAATATCTTTTTGATGGGGAAAGCTTTTACTTCTTTGGTGTCGCTTTTGGTAACTTGCCCTCTGCTTCAAGTTGTAGCATCTTTGCCTCATGTTCACCTAGTATGTTGTAAATTTCCCATGTCCTTTTTGCCTTTGGGCTCTGGTCGCCCATCTCAGGTAACCTATATCCTAGAAAGATTTTGTCATAGTTTGTATTTGAGTCTTCGCTTATTGTTTGCATGACTCTTTCCTGAGTTTCCGGTTCAAGCTCTTCAAACAGAGCTTGTCCATATGGAATAAGCTCGTTTCCAAATATATGTTTTTGTAGCCATTCTGGTTTTCTTTCCATGTAACCAATAATATCTTTTGTGAATGGGAAAGCTTTTACCCAACGTTTCAGTCTTGCGTCATTTATTTCTGTAGTTGGTTTTATTTTGTCATGGAACATGTTTTTCAATACTAACATTTCATTTGGTACTGTCCATTTGAGTTTTCTTAAATATTCATCCCTTCTCATTTCATTGTCTGCAAAGTAAGTTTTTATGACATTTTGCAAACTTTCGTTTGCAAGGTCATGTACAATAGGTTCTCTTCCTTCTCTCTCCCTAACTTTCTTTCTAAACTCTTCACCAAATATACCATCTCTATGGTTCTGTGTAGTTCTTTGAGATAAATGTTCTAGAACGTCAGGTGTTATATTTCCCTCAGCCATGTTCATTTCATACTGGTCCAAAATATCTGCATCTTTCATATCTTTCAATGGCATTAAAGCCGCGCTGAAAATACCCGTTATATCTGGTTCACCATTCACTTCCATTGCGTCTACAACTTCTTGGAATTGAGGTTGTAAGTTTATGAACCACCTATCCGGATTAGCTTTATGACCCCATTTCATTGTAGTTCCATAGTCTGCAGAAACAAAAGTAGGTTTGTTTCCATATTGGTTAGGTTCTGAATGAACTTTAAACAATGTTTCATTTCTATATGTTTTGTTGAAATTTAACCTTTTATTTTCACCGAGTTCAGCCAAAGATTGAACGTTATATGGTCGTAAGTAAAAAGGATTATTGTATTTGCGTACATTTTCTTTCAGTACTTCCATTCTATGCTGAATATTTTCATCTGATGTTGGAGTCTTTTGTATGTCGGTGAACATTTTTCGATATTCTTCTACTATGTCAGCCGAATTTTTCTTAGACTCTTGGAAAGATTCCATATTCACCTCATACTCTTGTTGAGGGTCAAGATTTTTCGGCTGTTCCAAATCTTCATCTAGTTCTGTGAAGTTAGTTTCCAAAGGAGGGACTTGTTCGTTTCCTTCAGGCTCTTCTAGCTGTTGTTGCTGAACTATTTCTTCCATGTCTGGTTGTATCTGAACTTCTTCCTGTGGAGTTTCTTGTACCTCATCTGCTGGCATTTCATATATTCCGAGACCGTTTTTAACAAGTTCCCTATCTAAGTCATCCGGACTCATAAACCTTTCTTCTTTCGTTCCGTCTCTATTTTTTACGCGTTTCATGAAGAGAGTTGAATTATCATTTAGCTCTGACATCAAATATCTCGGAGTAAATTCATTCATGTCATTTGGATGATATGCTATTAAATCATATCCCTTAGCGAGCTTGTATTTTCCAGGTTTGAGATTATATCCGATTTGATGCTCAACCATAAAGCTAAATAGGTTCGGGTCAGTATTTCCTTCCTTGAACTTTCTAATAGCTTCTTTATATCTGTCACTAAAGTCAAGAGTATCTGGGTAACCATAATCTTCCTTAAGCATTTTTAAGAATTCTTGGTTTCCTTTTTCTCTACTTCTTTTATGTCCTTGCTCTGTTTGTGGTTGTTGTTGTGCAGGGTTTTGAACTGTTGGTTGCTGTGCTGGTTGTGGAGGTGGTTGTTGTGCTGGTTTTGGTTGTGGTGCAGGTGCTGGATTTTGAACTGTTGGTTGTTGTGCAGGGTTTTGAACTGTTGGTTTTGGTTGTTGTTGTGGTGCTGGATTTTGAACTGTTGGTTGTTGTGTTGGTTTTGGTGCATGCCTGTGTCTGTGTCCATGTGACGATGTAAATGTTTTAGGTAGTCCTGGTGCAGGTGCTTCTCTTGGAGGGTTTGGTGGTATATAAGTTCCACCAGCTGGCACATATGTTCCATCTGCAGCATAATGTCCTACCTGACTTTTCGTTTTTAAGAAAGCATTTACTAGGTCTGTTTTGGTCTGTTGTAACTCTTTTTCTTGACTTTCCACAACAGTTGCTCTAACGGCGTCATAGGCACTTTGAACTGCCTGTCTCGTTGCTGCATCTGTTATTTTCGTCATATTTTGTGCTACTTCTCTTAACTCTTTGTCGAAACCTTCAGACTTCAGTTTCTTTCCAGATGAGAAGTCGTTCACTAGTTTCACCTTACTATGAAGAGCTTCGAAGGCATTCTTAAAGTCAGCATTCATTAAAGCTTCATTTGAACTGTCTTCATCCGCTTGTATTTTTGTCCTTATTGACCCTATAAGTTGGGCTGCTTTAGCGTTGGCTTGGGCATCTAACCAGTCATTATTAGCTTTTATATATTCTGCGCTTTTCATTGCCTTTTGCATGGCTGCGTCGTTATTTTTACTTTCTTGTGCTAAGTTTTCATACTGTACGGTTTGGTTTTGCAACTGTAAAAGTTTTTCTGCCTTTACATTTGCTTCAACTTCTTTTTTATACTCATCGCTATCCATATATGTCTTCATGGCTTTTTGTTTTATCTCTTCATCTTTCAGTACTTTATATTGAGTAGTATGGTTTTTCAAATTTATAACATCTTGTTCCATTTTTGCTACTTCTGCTGCTTTTTCTGACACTTTTTTCGCATATTCCTCTGTACTTAGTTCTTTCAGTTGTTCTTCTTTCTTCTTTTTCTCTACGTTTAACTCATTTAGTTTCTTTGTCTGTCTGTCATATTCTAGTTTCTTTTCGTTTTCACTTATTTGTTTCTGTATGTCTATGTTTGACTTTTTGACATCTGTTATTTGATTTTTGAGTGAACTCAAATTCATTTGACTTTGAGGGTTATAAGCTGTTCCGTCTGCAGCTCCACCATAGCCTGCCATTTTCGCTAAAAGTGCCGCTCTTAAACCTCCACTCTGTGCACCAATAACTCGGTTTAAAAGCATAGGGTTGCTTGACATTTGTTGCAACATAGTGGGGTCATTCATCATTTGTTGTTGCAACTGTTGTTGTGGTGTCAGTTTTACTATTGGATGTTTCAATGCTCCCTTCCTCTTACGTATATTCTTACGTAGCTTACGTGGCATTTTAAGTGAAGTTAAAAAGCGGTTTTTGACAGATGTTTATATGACACTTTTTGTTCAGCACAAAAAAACTCGGTCAAAGTGTTGTCAGTTTTGTAAAATAACCGTCCTATCTCATTCTATAATGGAGAAAAGGCTTCTCAAAGTATACTTCCTTGGAATGCCTGTAACTTTTCCTGTAGCGACGATAGACCCTTACTTGTCCGGACAAAGTTATACTATTTTGAGTGCTCTACAAAAAAGTCAACGGCGACGACTCTCAAAAACCGTTGTGTAAAAAGTTTTACCGTTGGACAAAAAAGTATATATAGAAAACAAAAAACGTTTATAGTTCATTCAATATTTGAGATAAACCGTTTTTCTAACGGTAACTATTAAATAAAATAAAAAAATAGAGGGGGTTACCGTTGACGAAAACGGTTTATCTCAAATATTTAAATATCTGTCTTTTTTGGTCAGTTCATTTTTATCTAATGGAAGCCAACGCTGTTAACCACAATTCAAACATTAACAATTCTCAACCGCTAACCAAAGCCAAAGCTCCACAACCTCCAAGAACTGGCACAGCGGTTAGAATAACCACCAAAAAGTCTAACAGCGAATTAAGAGAAATTCTTCAACAAATTTGCTCTAAATATCTCAAAGACGCCGAAGAAAACACACAACCAGACGCTACATACAATACTCAGTTCTGTGAAGTTCTGAACAAAGCAATTACTAGTTCAATTGAACTTACTAAGACAATTCCAAGTCCAATTGAGCTTAGCGATGTCTTAGTTCAGTATTTTCCAACATTTACTAAGCTTATAATGTTGAGAACTTTATACCAAGTTCGTCAAAATCTTCCTCGTTACATCCAACGGTCATTCGACAAGAGAATTGCCGAATTCCAAGTCTTTAGTTACGGATATGACGAAGATGAATACGTTGACGAGTTCGGAGACAACCGTACAAAATGGTTTGAATATTATACGACAACACAATTTGAATTCGACTTTCTCGAATTCAACGCAGCAACCATTCATATCATTGCTCTTTACCTTTCCGAACAACAACAAGACCTCGCAGATGGAGATGTTGTTACTGTCGTCATGAAAACTCCTGAACAATTCGGAAAAAAGAAGTCTCTAATTGCCAAATTCGTTCCAGGACATCAGCTTTTCCAACGCACAGAAGTCTTCTGTATTCCTGGAACTAAGTTCTTTGTCAGGAGCGAACTCAAAGAAAGATATAATGTGTCATTCAATTACACATTATATAATGTTTTCGACCCAGAAGAAGGCTTCTTCCCAGAAGCAATGGAGGAGGAAGAAGAGGAGGAAATACAAGACTCTATCCAAGAAGAGTCCTCCGAATTCACACCAGAAGACTAACAATTTTCCGAATAAAAACTTCATTTATACTAAACATCTTCGGGGCTAGAGGGCGCAACGCGCCTGGAAGCCCCACTTACCTGACCTAAATATTGAAGATATACATATTGTTATATTGTTTTGTAAAAGAATTTATAGAACTTTTTAAAAAACTGTTTTTGCAAAAATCTCGGGAACATAATCCCCTCAATTTTATTTGAGAAATTCGTAAACTATTCAAAATTGAGAGCCATGTTCCCGAGATTATTGCATTACTATATTTTTGTATGTAGATTATGTTTTATAATTTAATCAGAATTAAGTAGCAATTGTACAATTGGCCAAACAAGATATATCGTCGTTCTTAAAACTTCATCAAATTGTTAAAAAAGTTAGAAGTAATGGATTAATGCTTGCTATACTCAATTTATGTTTTAATTTTTTTTATCAAATGTAACATTGACAGCTACACAGAACTTCAACAATCATTTTCTTATTTATTGTAATATCGATAACTTAATAGAGACTGGTATGAAATTGCATAGTAAGTATATTCAAAATATGCTTTACACATTTTGATTTTTTTATTTCATTGCGCCATATGAATAATGCGTCTATTTTAAAGATATTACAAATTGTCAACTATTGGATTACGAGTCGATTTTGAATTTATTCAAAAAATTGAATATAAATCGACTTTAAATAGATTATTTTCAAAATTAATTTTAATATTCTTATTATTTATATACGTTCCAATTTCCAGTTTCTAATACTTTCAAACATTTTTCTATATGGAATAATGCATCGTTCACATTAATTGGTGAACCATATTCTAAATGATGAGCAGAGATTGAATCATATTGTAACTCAAATAATTTACAACTTAAACAGAAACCTGCCAGAGAATTTTCAGGGAAATTCGCTGTAACGCATATAACAACAGTATTGTCGGCCATAAAAATGCATTTACAAATGTTTGAACCTACAGGAGAGAAAAGAAACTTAATCTTTTTGAAATCCCTGGCGCATTCAATAAGATTTGTATGATTATCTGGAATAAATTTCCAATCAATTGTTGGGAACTTTGCTTTTGCTGAATTTATTACTTCATCAAGATTATGAATATGCCTTCTCTTGCCTTTAGGCCTGTTTGTAAAGCAGTATTCAGATGGTGTAATTTTATCTAATTCGAATTTTTCATGCAAGAACCGTTTAAATCTGTAAGTGTTTGGCCCCCATTGACTGATGTAAAAGGTTCTATTTGCAAAACAATGGAGTATATCAGCCGAAATATATTCACCTTTATTTTTTGGTAAATATATTCTTCGATCTGGTAAAAAGCCTAGAAGATCCAGGAGTGTATTATAGAGAAATGGCATTGAGAATACAATAATATGTGATCTCCTTCTAATTTCTTCAGGAATTAAAAATAGTGGAGTGAAAAAATCTTCAAATGAATGGCCAAAATTATATGTTGCCCATAAATATCCTGTAACAATAACCTCGCGGTAATGGCCTACAACACTTGCATTTGTAGCGTTCCTTTCAAAATCTGTTGGTTGGAAAATGGTGTTTTCATCAAGACCTACAGCACCATTAAAGCTAACATATGCTCTTTCAAGTCTATAGTGTGTAGTCTGAAGTGTCTTGTAATAAAAGTTGTAGTCGTGTGTTTCTTTCGGTTTTCTATATGAGAAATGGTATTGCGTAGGATCTTCTATTGTTTCATTTATATATCGTAATACTGGCCAATTTTTTTCTAGAGGCACATCAATTTTGCGCTTAACTTTAAAGAATGATGCCGGTGTCCAATCCGGAGTTTCATATCCGAATAAAGCAAATTCTGGATTATAAGAATAAATTTCTAGGGCTACAAGAAATGAACAACTTACTAGTAATGAGAAAAGATCGCAAATAAACATACTCTGACACTCTAATATTAATTTCTGAATCGGTTTTACATCATTGAGCAATAATTATTAAATCTTGAAAATTAAGGCTGTATATGTAAGATTCCTAAAGGGATCAAAACTCTGACATAGAAAAAATTATATTTTTGAGATACAAATGGGTCGGTTTGATCATTGAATTAAATTCAATTTTTATATCACCTCAATCAATTATTTGTCTGCTGATAGAGTTGTTAGATTCCCGACGATAGGTGTCTTGGAAGATTTGCCTGGTGTCATCATAGTGTCTTTAAATCAAAAATTTTATTTTGGAGTTAGTTTTATTGATTTTTCAATAAAAAACATTTCTAAAACAAGAAAATAAAACGATAAAATATTTATATTTTATATAAGGATCTTATATATTTAAAATAAATATCATTTTATTTTTTTCATTGGTGTCTGTCAAACTTACCTGCCATGGACTCTTTCATAAGTTCCATGAAATCGTCTTCGGACAATCTGGGGAAAAGTATTATGTCAGTAAGTATTCTTTTAACATCCTTACTTAAACTCTTTGCTGTCTGTACACAAATGACAACTGAGATGTTAAAGTGTCTGAGCTTCTTAAGAATTCGACACATATCTTGTTCTCTGTTCTTTAACAAAGGATGAGAGGCGAAATCATCTAAGATAAGAAGACATCTATGAGGGTAAGTCTTCCAATCGTAAGATTGCAATTTCTTCGAAATGTATTCTATCTCTTTCTGTTTGTTTCTGAAGTGGTGTTTGTCTAATATTCTCTGCATTTCCTCATTAGGTTCTTTAAACTTCGAATTTATATACTCATTTATAGCATTATACTTCAAAACTCTTCTTTGGTACTTCTTTATCCAATCTAACAACTCAGTATCCTTTATACATACTAACTTAGACTTCTTTATAATATCTTTGAACGAATTGACGGTTTGGTCAAATTGACCAGAAGTACTACAAATAACAACTAACTCATAAAATGGGTTCTTCTCATCTAGTTCTTGTTGTTGTGCAGCCATTTTAAGATAAGTGAAAGTCTTACCCGACCCAGGTGGTGCAATTAGACCTGTTATACCATTCTGAGCAAATAAGAACTTTTCATGTATAGGCTTTATCTGAGCATTTTCTAACTTCCTCTTGTTCTTGTTTAAAACATTCTCAAATTTCTTGTCAATGTCAGCAAACTTTTTTCTAACATATTTTTAGAAAAATTAAAATTTTTATCTTTTAGAAAATGTCTAGCGATTTCGCTATCTATATTCGAGACAAGCTTTTCGACAGCAAAACATCTGTAGACCATAAAACCTTACATAATGTAAACAAGAAAGGTGAATTTGTTCTAAAGTTCTGTTTCTGGGAATATGACAAGAACCATAAAACATTACAAAGAGCAGTCTTAAAATTTGTCAATGACAGACTTGTTGACAGAGATGACGCCGATTGGAAAGATGAAGTCCAACAAAAGTTCTTAGAATGCAAAGAAGACACATGCGCTGTTCTTGAAGATGAAATAGAAAACAGAATAGAAGAGCTATTAAAGGACAAAGAACTTTTACATAGATATGGTTCTGAGAAATTTGACATATCTCCACCAGAGAAGAAGAAGAAAGAAAAGAAAGAAAAGAAAGTAGAAGAAGAGAAGAAAGAACCAGAGCCAATTCCACCGAAGAAGAAATTTGACATGTAAAAATAAAATTTTATTTTTAGAACATTTCTGGGTCAATGTCAATGTTCTCTTCCTCTTTAGGAGTAAACACTGGCTTAGACTCTAATAGCTTTTTACCCAATTTACCTTGAACTTCTACAACTTTAGACTCATAATATTCATAGTCGTCTGTCTTCTTTGGTTCATAAGGTATAACAAGTTTGTATGCTTTGCCTTCTTTAAGGTTTGAGAACCTTCTGTCAAAACTTTCTTTGACTGCTAACAAACCTTCTATGTCTAAGTCTTCAAATTTCGCACCATTTTAGTCACAATAGCAAACTTAACTGGTTCGATGTTCCAAACTTTGCTGAATGAAGACTTTTCAAAATGGTAGAAATAAACATTCAAATATGTGAATGGGTCTAGTTCTTCTTTAACTCCTGACATGTACTTGTTTACTGAAATCTATTTCGTCATCTTTTCTATCGGATAAAAAATATTTTTTTTTAAAATTTACTCAGAAAAAATTTTCTTTGTATATACACCATTCTGAACATCTAAAAGACTTTTGACATTTGCCAAGAATGTTCGTTTAGACGCTGGCATATAACCATACTCTTGACAATATTGTTTATACGAATCGTACAATGACCTTTCATCTAATGACACAAAGTCAGTTTCATCTACGAACAGTTCATAAACACTCTTGTTTGCTTCTAACAATGTTTGTCTCTCTTCGGTATGTGGAATTTGTCTTGGATTGAACTTAGAAATATCTAATGTCATGAAATATGAGAACAAGTGGTTGTAAAAGTCAGATGTCAAACATTCTGACAAAGCGTCAAAATATTCAGTATCTTGCATATGAGCTTCTGACGTTCTGACAACTACATATCTTCTGTCAGAACTTTCTAACTGCATCGAACAGGCATTGTTTGAAACCATAATGAAGTTTGCAACATTTTCACAAACTCTTTGGTCTTTATACTTTCTTTCAACAACTCCAACTTTGTCTGTTATAAGACTCTTCAAAGCATCTGAGTTCAAAACTTTTGTTGTATCTATACTTTGAAGTTCATTGCAAACTATAAGTTTCATATTCTCTATTGAGGAGTTAAACTTGCCACAGATGTTTTCTAAGTTTGTCATATTCGGATTCGAATAACCTTCTAACAGTTTGCACAAAATATCTGTAAAGAAAGTATTCTTACCAGTTCCTTGTTTTCCAATTATAATGAGAGCAGTTTCATTTTTAGCACTTGGATGTTGTAAGATATTTGCAAACCAACATAAGATATACTCATAAACCTTTTCGTTTCCATTGCATATAATTTCTTTGACATGGTCTAACCAAGCTTCTATAATACTGTGTTTCCATTCTACTTGTTCGTATTTATATCCAGTGAAGATAGAATAGAAGTTTGGAGAAGGTGTATAGAACTTTATACCTCGAACTGAAAAATCTTCTAACTTTGACAATAAGATATCCCAAGCATCTAACATCTTCATGCCAACTTGTACAACTTTTATTTTCTTAAGTTTCTGTCTACATTCTTGTTCAGACACTATTGTTGCTCTTGGTTTGTTAAAGACAACATCCCATTCTTTCATGACATAACATTCTGGGGCAGAGTCAACATAAATGACTAAACGTTTCAAATTCTCGACTGCTTTGTTATAGTCTCTAAATGGACACATATTTCTGAATGCTTGGAAGTCATAAAAATCTGAAACATCTATTCTGTACATTTTTATAAAAATAAAAAAAAATATTATTTTTTTATTCTTGACTTTGTTGTTCCATTTGTTGCATTTGTTGTTCTTGAGCTATTTGTTGTTGAAGTTGTTCTTGTAATACAATACTTTCACCAGTTGCATCTTCCAATTCGAAACTTTCTGCCGTCATTGACAAATACATAGGACATAAAAGTTTTACAGGAACAAAGTTTGCGTCAACTAATGTCAACGTTATACTTGCCAAAGTGTTTGAGTTCACTAAGGTTGAAAATTCTGCATTCGAATGAACAATAGGCAAACCAGCAGAGAAAGTATTGTTTATACGCATAAGTATCTTTTGGTCATAATAGTTTCTGTCGACATTCGAATAACACTTTGAACCTAAGTTTGAAACAATATATAAGATTGGTGTGCTTAATGTCAATGGAATAGACATTCCTTGTATGACACCTTTTCCTGTTATAGGAAACTGTTGGTAGTAAAAACCAGAAATAAGTTTTGTATTATAGCTCATATCGTTTATAGTAAACTCAGTCGGACATCCAAACATAATGAAACCTGCTCTAGTTGCAGCACATGTTACACCCGTACTTAAAGTATTAAATAAGTCAACAAAACCTGTTGGTGGTATATCTGAGTAAGTATCTTCAAAGGAGTATTTTTTACCATTCACAACAATAAAGTCTTCTGGTGTCAAAAGAGCAAAACAGGCTTTAGTCGTCATTGTGTTTAAGGTTAGTTTACAATATCGTCCTTGAGGACTTTGTAAGTTTGTTGTTATAGAATTATATGACTCAGGGTTTTTAGTCGTAATAGTATAAACCATTATGTCTTCTGCCATTTACTTAGCAAATAAACTTTAATGAAATGTTGTGGTCGTCAAATATTTTTATAACGTCTGGGAAACTATATTTTAAGTTCAACGTTTCACCTCCTTTCATAACGTATATCTTGTCAATGACATTATATGAAACACCACAGCAACCAATGTCGGGTTCTATTTCTTTGATGTTTATATCGTCTGCCTCTGTCAAAAGTTTCAATAGTTCTTTCAAAACTTCATGAGGTGCAATGACATATGAGTTCACTTTTACAGGGTTGTGTTCGCCCAAGTTTAACATTATACTTAAAGCTTGACAAATCTTCTCCTGAGTTTGAAGTTTGTCTTTCAGTTGTTGGTAGTCGTTTCGAATATCTGCAACAGAACTTAAGTCTCTGTTAACTTCAGGATATGTTGGTTCTTTTACAGGAACAATTGTTATACCATCTTCGTCTTCGTATGGTTTCCCCACTTCAACATCTCTGTCTTTGACATTGACAATAACACTTTGACTGTTTGTTTGGGTTGGTGAATTTAACTTAACATCTGCCACCGCCATTAAACCTTTTGAAACACTTACGCTTCTATTTTTCGGAAATGACATTTTACTTAGAATAAAAAGATGGACGTATTCGGATATCTTATTGAATTGAAGCAGAACAAAGTTTATACTCACAAACAATACAAATACATTGACAGAATAGTTCTTTACACAAACAATGGAAAATGTTATAGAATAGCAGTCTTTGCTGAACCTAAATATTTTCATAAAGCAAAGAAAGTTGGTATAACTGAAATGGTGAAAGTTCTTGAAGCAGACAAAAATATAACTTCAAAACTTACAGATATTACTAAAGGAAAGTTTATAATACAATATTATGTCAAAACTGGCGTACTGTCAATATTTGACGGAGAGAAGTCAGTTCAAGAACAACTTACTGACCTGCTGCCAAAATCTGCTCGATGGAAGCTGTCGTTATGCCAATCTGAGGAGCCCCAGCAGGTTTCATCGAACGAATCTTCAAAAGAGCATCTTCCGTGAAAAGTGCTATTGGTTTTGTAAACTTCTTTGCTCTCAATTCATCTGGACCGTCTCTGTCACCAGTATATTGTATTTGAACTGTACCAACAGTTGAAATACTACCCATAAAGTCTTCTGAGTCAGCAAATGGAATGCCAAGCCAAAAGTTTGAACGGTCTCCATTTGTATATTGAGTTTTTTGACCTCCTGTATGAGTCCATACTTTCACATATGGCATAATAGAACTTTGCATTTCAGGGTTAATAGTTGTTGTGAAGTTGTTGTTAAAGTTCATAGCATCTAATGTCAAGTTGTATGACCTCATATCCTCAACTGTAGAATATTCTTCTCTTGGATAATATTTGCCATCTATGTTTATATGATATTTAATACCAGGGTTGTAGAAACAAGAATAGTCATTTATAGTTCGTCTGAACAGTACAAACATAGTATCTGCATGTTTCATTGCAGTTGTTAAAGCAATATCTGTTCTTGCACCTGCGGCTCCTGGATTTTGGTTTCCAACTTCACCTGCAAAGTCTTTGACAGATATTTGGTGTATAGGGAACATAAGTGGAACTGCAATATATTTGGCAGCTAAAGCATTTGAAATATCTGGGTCCAACATATAGACTGCAAGTCTGCTTTCTATTCTCTTGCATTCAAATTTTTCGCATGTGAACTTAACTGGGTCCCAAGCAGTTCCAGCAGCATTGAAATAATAGTTTACTTCATTGTTGAAGTTTGAGAAACCAAAGTCTAAGTCAACTTTGTCTTTGCAAAATTCGACGAATGACGTTTGATTTGTTCCCTTTACGTCTGTAATAGTGAATGGGTCTTGTGTTGGTGCAATGACTAAGTTATTTTTGCTTGGAGTAAGTTCGATAGAAATTTTTCCTGCCCAGTTTGGCAAGTATCTTAAAAACCTGAAGATGAGGAAAGATGACAAAGGAACTCTAAGTTTCAGTTTTACTTTAGTGGCAGCAGTTCCATCTGAACCAGAAAGGTTAACATAAACTCCTGGAACGTTAGGGTCAAGTCTTCTTATTTTCTCAATAGTTGCATACTGGTCTGTTTGTTCTCTAGCTTGTGGTTGTACTGAGTTTCTCAAAGCGAACCATTCATAGTTTGCCCATGTTACTGTTTGAACTAAGTCAGAGTTAGAATATATCTTATATCCCATGAAAACTTCTGGAGCATATTGGTATCCGACATAGAAAATTCCATTGCAACCTTTCTTGTCAGACAACTTGGAAGAAGGTTTTATTTCAATGTCTTGTTCCACGTATAAGAATGAGTTGTCAATAGAAATAATATGAAACCTGTCGCAAGCAATATCTACTGTTGTTGAAGAACCTTCTCCAAACTCACCTACGTTTCCATAAGAAACAGCAGTTGTATATTCGTAAGTTCCAGGAACTATTTCTGACCTTCTAATGGCATTATCGCATTCGTTATACCATTCGGAAACATTTCCGTTCATGGCATCCAAAACTGTTGGCGTTATATTCTGAGCGGCGTACATTTCATATGGGTAAAAATATAGAATAGTTGGATTTATATGTCATAATAGAACCCACTCGGACCAAGCTTTACTTTCTTCCTGACTGAGTTTTTAACTGAATCTTTAACTCTTCTTTTTCCTTCATTGCCACTACTTTCACTAGATGAAGTTACTTCTTCACTACTTTCACTTTGTTCTACTCTTCTTCTTTGGTGTCGCTTTTGGTAACTTGCCCTCTGCTTCAAGTTGTAGCATCTTTGCCTCATGTTCACCTAGTATGTTGTAAATTTCCCATGTCCTTTTTGCCTTTGGGCTCTGGTCGCCCATCTCAGGTAACCTATATCCTAGAAAGATTTTGTCATAGTTTGTATTTGAGTCTTCGCTTATTGTTTGCATGACTCTTTCCTGAGTTTCCGGTTCAAGCTCTTCAAACAGAGCTTGTCCATATGGAATAAGCTCGTTTCCAAATATATGTTTTTGTAGCCATTCTGGTTTTCTTTCCATGTAACCAATAATATCTTTTGTGAATGGGAAAGCTTTTACCCAACGTTTCAGTCTTGCGTCATTTATTTCTGTAGTTGGTTTTATTTTGTCATGGAACATGTTTTTCAATACTAACATTTCATTTGGTACTGTCCATTTGAGTTTTCTTAAATATTCATCCCTTCTCATTTCATTGTCTGCAAAGTAAGTTTTTATGACATTTTGCAAACTTTCGTTTGCAAGGTCATGTACAATAGGTTCTCTTCCTTCTCTCTCCCTAACTTTCTTTCTAAACTCTTCACCAAATATACCATCTCTATGGTTCTGTGTAGTTCTTTGAGATAAATGTTCTAGAACGTCAGGTGTTATATTTCCCTCAGCCATGTTCATTTCATACTGGTCCAAAATATCTGCATCTTTCATATCTTTCAATGGCATTAAAGCCGCGCTGAAAATACCGTTATATCTGGTTCACCATTCACTTCCATTGCGTCTACAACTTCTTGGAATTGAGGTTGTAAGTTTATGAACCACCTATCCGGATTAGCTTTATGACCCCATTTCATTGTAGTTCCATAGTCTGCAGAAACAAAAGTAGGTTTGTTTCCATATTGGTTAGGTTCTGAATGAACTTTAAACAATGTTTCATTTCTATATGTTTTGTTGAAATTTAACCTTTTATTTTCACCGAGTTCAGCCAAAGATTGAACGTTATATGGTCGTAAGTAAAAAGGATTATTGTATTTGCGTACATTTTCTTTCAGTACTTCCATTCTATGCTGAATATTTTCATCTGATGTTGGAGTCTTTTGTATGTCGGTGAACATTTTTCGATATTCTTCTACTATGTCAGCCGAATTTTTCTTAGACTCTTGGAAAGATTCCATATTCACCTCATACTCTTGTTGAGGGTCAAGATTTTTCGGCTGTTCCAAATCTTCATCTAGTTCTGTGAAGTTAGTTTCCAAAGGAGGGACTTGTTCGTTTCCTTCAGGCTCTTCTAGCTGTTGTTGCTGAACTATTTCTTCCATGTCTGGTTGTATCTGAACTTCTTCCTGTGGAGTTTCTTGTACCTCATCTGCTGGCATTTCATATATTCCGAGACCGTTTTTAACAAGTTCCCTATCTAAGTCATCCGGACTCATAAACCTTTCTTCTTTCGTTCCGTCTCTATTTTTTACGCGTTTCATGAAGAGAGTTGAATTATCATTTAGCTCTGACATCAAATATCTCGGAGTAAATTCATTCATGTCATTTGGATGATATGCTATTAAATCATATCCCTTAGCGAGCTTGTATTTTCCAGGTTTGAGATTATATCCGATTTGATGCTCAACCATAAAGCTAAATAGGTTCGGGTCAGTATTTCCTTCCTTGAACTTTCTAATAGCTTCTTTATATCTGTCACTAAAGTCAAGAGTATCTGGGTAACCATAATCTTCCTTAAGCATTTTTAAGAATTCTTGGTTTCCTTTTTCTCTACTTCTTTTATGTCCTTGCTCTGTTTGTGGTTGTTGTTGTGCAGGGTTTTGAACTGTTGGTTGCTGTGCTGGTTGTGGAGGTGGTTGTTGTGCTGGTTTTGGTTGTGGTGCAGGTGCTGGATTTTGAACTGTTGGTTGTTGTGCAGGGTTTTGAACTGTTGGTTTTGGTTGTTGTTGTGGTGCTGGATTTTGAACTGTTGGTTGTTGTGTTGGTTTTGGTGCATGCCTGTGTCTGTGTCCATGTGACGATGTAAATGTTTTAGGTAGTCCTGGTGCAGGTGCTTCTCTTGGAGGGTTTGGTGGTATATAAGTTCCACCAGCTGGCACATATGTTCCATCTGCAGCATAATGTCCTACCTGACTTTTCGTTTTTAAGAAAGCATTTACTAGGTCTGTTTTGGTCTGTTGTAACTCTTTTTCTTGACTTTCCACAACAGTTGCTCTAACGGCGTCATAGGCACTTTGAACTGCCTGTCTCGTTGCTGCATCTGTTATTTTCGTCATATTTTGTGCTACTTCTCTTAACTCTTTGTCGAAACCTTCAGACTTCAGTTTCTTTCCAGATGAGAAGTCGTTCACTAGTTTCACCTTACTATGAAGAGCTTCGAAGGCATTCTTAAAGTCAGCATTCATTAAAGCTTCATTTGAACTGTCTTCATCCGCTTGTATTTTTGTCCTTATTGACCCTATAAGTTGGGCTGCTTTAGCGTTGGCTTGGGCATCTAACCAGTCATTATTAGCTTTTATATATTCTGCGCTTTTCATTGCCTTTTGCATGGCTGCGTCGTTATTTTTACTTTCTTGTGCTAAGTTTTCATACTGTACGGTTTGGTTTTGCAACTGTAAAAGTTTTTCTGCCTTTACATTTGCTTCAACTTCTTTTTTATACTCATCGCTATCCATATATGTCTTCATGGCTTTTTGTTTTATCTCTTCATCTTTCAGTACTTTATATTGAGTAGTATGGTTTTTCAAATTTATAACATCTTGTTCCATTTTTGCTACTTCTGCTGCTTTTTCTGACACTTTTTTCGCATATTCCTCTGTACTTAGTTCTTTCAGTTGTTCTTCTTTCTTCTTTTTCTCTACGTTTAACTCATTTAGTTTCTTTGTCTGTCTGTCATATTCTAGTTTCTTTTCGTTTTCACTTATTTGTTTCTGTATGTCTATGTTTGACTTTTTGACATCTGTTATTTGATTTTTGAGTGAACTCAAATTCATTTGACTTTGAGGGTTATAAGCTGTTCCGTCTGCAGCTCCACCATAGCCTGCCATTTTCGCTAAAAGTGCCGCTCTTAAACCTCCACTCTGTGCACCAATAACTCGGTTTAAAAGCATAGGGTTGCTTGACATTTGTTGCAACATAGTGGGGTCATTCATCATTTGTTGTTGCAACTGTTGTTGTGGTGTCAGTTTTACTATTGGATGTTTCAATGCTCCCTTCCTCTTACGTATATTCTTACGTAGCTTACGTGGCATTTTAAGTGAAGTTAAAAAGCGGTTTTTGACAGATGTTTATATGACACTTTTTGTTCAGCACAAAAAACTACTCGGTCAAAGTGTTGTCAGTTTTGTAAAATAACCGTCCTATCTCATTCTATAATGGAGAAAAGGCTTCTCAAAGTATACTTCCTTGGAATGCCTGTAACTTTTCCTGTAGCGACGATAGACCCTTGAGTGCTCTGGACAAAGTTATACTATTTTGAGTGCTCTACAAAAAAGTCAACGGCGACGACTCTCAAAAACCGTTGTGTAAAAAGTTTTACCGTTGGACAAAAAAGTATATATAGAAAACAAAAAACGTTTATAGTTCATTCAATATTTGAGATAAACCGTTTTTCTAACGGTAACTATTAAATAAAATAAAAAAATAGAGGGGGTTACCGTTGACGAAAACGGTTTATCTCAAATATTTAAATATCTGTCTTTTTTGGTCAGTTCATTTTTATCTAATGGAAGCCAACGCTGTTAACCACAATTCAAACATTAACAATTCTCAACCGCTAACCAAAGCCAAAGCTCCACAACCTCCAAGAACTGGCACAGCGGTTAGAATAACCACCAAAAAGTCTAACAGCGAATTAAGAGAAATTCTTCAACAAATTTGCTCTAAATATCTCAAAGACGCCGAAGAAAACACACAACCAGACGCTACATACAATACTCAGTTCTGTGAAGTTCTGAACAAAGCAATTACTAGTTCAATTGAACTTACTAAGACAATTCCAAGTCCAATTGAGCTTAGCGATGTCTTAGTTCAGTATTTTCCAACATTTACTAAGCTTATAATGTTGAGAACTTTATACCAAGTTCGTCAAAATCTTCCTCGTTACATCCAACGGTCATTCGACAAGAGAATTGCCGAATTCCAAGTCTTTAGTTACGGATATGACGAAGATGAATACGTTGACGAGTTCGGAGACAACCGTACAAAATGGTTTGAATATTATACGACAACACAATTTGAATTCGACTTTCTCGAATTCAACGCAGCAACCATTCATATCATTGCTCTTTACCTTTCCGAACAACAACAAGACCTCGCAGATGGAGATGTTGTTACTGTCGTCATGAAAACTCCTGAACAATTCGGAAAAAAGAAGTCTCTAATTGCCAAATTCGTTCCAGGACATCAGCTTTTCCAACGCACAGAAGTCTTCTGTATTCCTGGAACTAAGTTCTTTGTCAGGAGCGAACTCAAAGAAAGATATAATGTGTCATTCAATTACACATTATATAATGTTTTCGACCCAGAAGAAGGCTTCTTCCCAGAAGCAATGGAGGAGGAAGAAGAGGAGGAAATACAAGACTCTATCCAAGAAGAGTCCTCCGAATTCACACCAGAAGACTAACAATTTTCCGAATAAAAACTTCATTTATACTAAACATCTTCGGGGCTAGAGGGCGCAACGCGCCTGGAAGCCCCACTTACCTGACCTAAATATTGAAGATATACATATTGTTATATTGTTTTGTAAAAGAATTTATAGAACTTTTTAAAAAACTGTTTTTGCAAAAATCTCGGGAACATAATCCCCTCAATTTTATTTGAGAAATTCGTAAACTATTCAAAATTGAGAGCCATGTTCCCGAGATTATTGCATTACTATATTTTTGTATGTAGATTATGTTTTATAATTTAATCAGAATTAAGTAGCAATTGTACAATTGGCCAAACAAGATATATCGTCGTTCTTAAAACTTCATCAAATTGTTAAAAAAGTTAGAAGTAATGGATTAATGCTTGCTATACTCAATTTATGTTTTAATTTTTTTTATCAAATGTAACATTGACAGCTACACAGAACTTCAACAATCATTTTCTTATTTATTGTAATATCGATAACTTAATAGAGACTGGTATGAAATTGCATAGTAAGTATATTCAAAATATGCTTTACACATTTTGATTTTTTTTTTCATTGCGCCATATGAATAATGCGTCTATTTTAAAGATATTACAAATTGTCAACTATTGGATTACGAGTCGATTTTGAATTTATTCAAAAAATTGAATATAAATCGACTTTAAATAGATTATTTTCAAAATTAATTTTAATATTCTTATTATTTATATACGTTCCAATTTCCAGTTTCTAATACTTTCAAACATTTTTCTATATGGAATAATGCATCGTTCACATTAATTGGTGAACCATATTCTAAATGATGAGCAGAGATTGAATCATATTGTAACTCAAATAATTTACAACTTAAACAGAAACCTGCCAGAGAATTTTCAGGGAAATTCGCTGTAACGCATATAACAACAGTATTGTCGGCCATAAAAATGCATTTACAAATGTTTGAACCTACAGGAGAGAAAAGAAACTTAATCTTTTTGAAATCCCTGGCGCATTCAATAAGATTTGTATGATTATCTGGAATAAATTTCCAATCAATTGTTGGGAACTTTGCTTTTGCTGAATTTATTACTTCATCAAGATTATGAATATGCCTTCTCTTGCCTTTAGGCCTGTTTGTAAAGCAGTATTCAGATGGTGTAATTTTATCTAATTCGAATTTTTCATGCAAGAACCGTTTAAATCTGTAAGTGTTTGGCCCCCATTGACTGATGTAAAAGGTTCTATTTGCAAAACAATGGAGTATATCAGCCGAAATATATTCACCTTTATTTTTTGGTAAATATATTCTTCGATCTGGTAAAAAGCCTAGAAGATCCAGGAGTGTATTATAGAGAAATGGCATTGAGAATACAATAATATGTGATCTCCTTCTAATTTCTTCAGGAATTAAAAATAGTGGAGTGAAAAAATCTTCAAATGAATGGCCAAAATTATATGTTGCCCATAAATATCCTGTAACAATAACCTCGCGGTAATGGCCTACAACACTTGCATTTGTAGCGTTCCTTTCAAAATCTGTTGGTTGGAAAATGGTGTTTTCATCAAGACCTACAGCACCATTAAAGCTAACATATGCTCTTTCAAGTCTATAGTGTGTAGTCTGAAGTGTCTTGTAATAAAAGTTGTAGTCGTGTGTTTCTTTCGGTTTTCTATATGAGAAATGGTATTGCGTAGGATCTTCTATTGTTTCATTTATATATCGTAATACTGGCCAATTTTTTTCTAGAGGCACATCAATTTTGCGCTTAACTTTAAAGAATGATGCCGGTGTCCAATCCGGAGTTTCATATCCGAATAAAGCAAATTCTGGATTATAAGAATAAATTTCTAGGGCTACAAGAAATGAACAACTTACTAGTAATGAGAAAAGATCGCAAATAAACATACTCTGACACTCTAATATTAATTTCTGAATCGGTTTTACATCATTGAGCAATAATTATTAAATCTTGAAAATTAAGGCTGTATATGTAAGATTCCTAAAGGGATCAAAACTCTGACATAGAAAAAATTATATTTTTGAGATACAAATGGGTCGGTTTGATCATTGAATTAAATTCAATTTTTATATCACCTCAATCAATTATTTGTCTGCTGATAGAGTTGTTAGATTCCCGACGATAGGTGTCTTGGAAGATTTGCCTGGTGTCATCATAGTGTCTTTAAATCAAAAATTTTATTTTGGAGTTAGTTTTATTGATTTTTCAATAAAAAACATTTCTAAAACAAGAAAATAAAACGATAAAATATTTATATTTTATATAAGGATCTTATATATTTAAAATAAATATCATTTTATTTTTTTCATTGGTGTCTGTCAAACTTACCTGCCATGGACTCTTTCATAAGTTCCATGAAATCGTCTTCGGACAATCTGGGGAAAAGTATTATGTCAGTAAGTATTCTTTTAACATCCTTACTTAAACTCTTTGCTGTCTGTACACAAATGACAACTGAGATGTTAAAGTGTCTGAGCTTCTTAAGAATTCGACACATATCTTGTTCTCTGTTCTTTAACAAAGGATGAGAGGCGAAATCATCTAAGATAAGAAGACATCTATGAGGGTAAGTCTTCCAATCGTAAGATTGCAATTTCTTCGAAATGTATTCTATCTCTTTCTGTTTGTTTCTGAAGTGGTGTTTGTCTAATATTCTCTGCATTTCCTCATTAGGTTCTTTAAACTTCGAATTTATATACTCATTTATAGCATTATACTTCAAAACTCTTCTTTGGTACTTCTTTATCCAATCTAACAACTCAGTATCCTTTATACATACTAACTTAGACTTCTTTATAATATCTTTGAACGAATTGACGGTTTGGTCAAATTGACCAGAAGTACTACAAATAACAACTAACTCATAAAATGGGTTCTTCTCATCTAGTTCTTGTTGTTGTGCAGCCATTTTAAGATAAGTGAAAGTCTTACCCGACCCAGGTGGTGCAATTAGACCTGTTATACCATTCTGAGCAAATAAGAACTTTTCATGTATAGGCTTTATCTGAGCATTTTCTAACTTCCTCTTGTTCTTGTTTAAAACATTCTCAAATTTCTTGTCAATGTCAGCAAACTTTTTTCTAACATATTTTTAGAAAAATTAAAATTTTTATCTTTTAGAAAATGTCTAGCGATTTCGCTATCTATATTCGAGACAAGCTTTTCGACAGCAAAACATCTGTAGACCATAAAACCTTACATAATGTAAACAAGAAAGGTGAATTTGTTCTAAAGTTCTGTTTCTGGGAATATGACAAGAACCATAAAACATTACAAAGAGCAGTCTTAAAATTTGTCAATGACAGACTTGTTGACAGAGATGACGCCGATTGGAAAGATGAAGTCCAACAAAAGTTCTTAGAATGCAAAGAAGACACATGCGCTGTTCTTGAAGATGAAATAGAAAACAGAATAGAAGAGCTATTAAAGGACAAAGAACTTTTACATAGATATGGTTCTGAGAAATTTGACATATCTCCACCAGAGAAGAAGAAGAAAGAAAAGAAAGAAAAGAAAGTAGAAGAAGAGAAGAAAGAACCAGAGCCAATTCCACCGAAGAAGAAATTTGACATGTAAAAATAAAATTTTATTTTTAGAACATTTCTGGGTCAATGTCAATGTTCTCTTCCTCTTTAGGAGTAAACACTGGCTTAGACTCTAATAGCTTTTTACCCAATTTACCTTGAACTTCTACAACTTTAGACTCATAATATTCATAGTCGTCTGTCTTCTTTGGTTCATAAGGTATAACAAGTTTGTATGCTTTGCCTTCTTTAAGGTTTGAGAACCTTCTGTCAAAACTTTCTTTGACTGCTAACAAACCTTCTATGTCTAAGTCTTCAAATTTCGCACCATTTTAGTCACAATAGCAAACTTAACTGGTTCGATGTTCCAAACTTTGCTGAATGAAGACTTTTCAAAATGGTAGAAATAAACATTCAAATATGTGAATGGGTCTAGTTCTTCTTTAACTCCTGACATGTACTTGTTTACTGAAATCTATTTCGTCATCTTTTCTATCGGATAAAAAATATTTTTTTTTAAAATTTACTCAGAAAAAATTTTCTTTGTATATACACCATTCTGAACATCTAAAAGACTTTTGACATTTGCCAAGAATGTTCGTTTAGACGCTGGCATATAACCATACTCTTGACAATATTGTTTATACGAATCGTACAATGACCTTTCATCTAATGACACAAAGTCAGTTTCATCTACGAACAGTTCATAAACACTCTTGTTTGCTTCTAACAATGTTTGTCTCTCTTCGGTATGTGGAATTTGTCTTGGATTGAACTTAGAAATATCTAATGTCATGAAATATGAGAACAAGTGGTTGTAAAAGTCAGATGTCAAACATTCTGACAAAGCGTCAAAATATTCAGTATCTTGCATATGAGCTTCTGACGTTCTGACAACTACATATCTTCTGTCAGAACTTTCTAACTGCATCGGAACAGCATTGTTTGAAACCATAATGAAGTTTGCAACATTTTCACAAACTCTTTGGTCTTTATACTTTCTTTCAACAACTCCAACTTTGTCTGTTATAAGACTCTTCAAAGCATCTGAGTTCAAAACTTTTGTTGTATCTATACTTTGAAGTTCATTGCAAACTATAAGTTTCATATTCTCTATTGAGGAGTTAAACTTGCCACAGATGTTTTCTAAGTTTGTCATATTCGGATTCGAATAACCTTCTAACAGTTTGCACAAAATATCTGTAAAGAAAGTATTCTTACCAGTTCCTTGTTTTCCAATTATAATGAGAGCAGTTTCATTTTTAGCACTTGGATGTTGTAAGATATTTGCAAACCAACATAAGATATACTCATAAACCTTTTCGTTTCCATTGCATATAATTTCTTTGACATGGTCTAACCAAGCTTCTATAATACTGTGTTTCCATTCTACTTGTTCGTATTTATATCCAGTGAAGATAGAATAGAAGTTTGGAGAAGGTGTATAGAACTTTATACCTCGAACTGAAAAATCTTCTAACTTTGACAATAAGATATCCCAAGCATCTAACATCTTCATGCCAACTTGTACAACTTTTATTTTCTTAAGTTTCTGTCTACATTCTTGTTCAGACACTATTGTTGCTCTTGGTTTGTTAAAGACAACATCCCATTCTTTCATGACATAACATTCTGGGGCAGAGTCAACATAAATGACTAAACGTTTCAAATTCTCGACTGCTTTGTTATAGTCTCTAAATGGACACATATTTCTGAATGCTTGGAAGTCATAAAAATCTGAAACATCTATTCTGTACATTTTTATAAAAATAAAAAAAAATATTATTTTTTTATTCTTGACTTTGTTGTTCCATTTGTTGCATTTGTTGTTCTTGAGCTATTTGTTGTTGAAGTTGTTCTTGTAATACAATACTTTCACCAGTTGCATCTTCCAATTCGAAACTTTCTGCCGTCATTGACAAATACATAGGACATAAAAGTTTTACAGGAACAAAGTTTGCGTCAACTAATGTCAACGTTATACTTGCCAAAGTGTTTGAGTTCACTAAGGTTGAAAATTCTGCATTCGAATGAACAATAGGCAAACCAGCAGAGAAAGTATTGTTTATACGCATAAGTATCTTTTGGTCATAATAGTTTCTGTCGACATTCGAATAACACTTTGAACCTAAGTTTGAAACAATATATAAGATTGGTGTGCTTAATGTCAATGGAATAGACATTCCTTGTATGACACCTTTTCCTGTTATAGGAAACTGTTGGTAGTAAAAACCAGAAATAAGTTTTGTATTATAGCTCATATCGTTTATAGTAAACTCAGTCGGACATCCAAACATAATGAAACCTGCTCTAGTTGCAGCACATGTTACACCCGTACTTAAAGTATTAAATAAGTCAACAAAACCTGTTGGTGGTATATCTGAGTAAGTATCTTCAAAGGAGTATTTTTTACCATTCACAACAATAAAGTCTTCTGGTGTCAAAAGAGCAAAACAGGCTTTAGTCGTCATTGTGTTTAAGGTTAGTTTACAATATCGTCCTTGAGGACTTTGTAAGTTTGTTGTTATAGAATTATATGACTCAGGGTTTTTAGTCGTAATAGTATAAACCATTATGTCTTCTGCCATTTACTTAGCAAATAAACTTTAATGAAATGTTGTGGTCGTCAAATATTTTTATAACGTCTGGGAAACTATATTTTAAGTTCAACGTTTCACCTCCTTTCATAACGTATATCTTGTCAATGACATTATATGAAACACCACAGCAACCAATGTCGGGTTCTATTTCTTTGATGTTTATATCGTCTGCCTCTGTCAAAAGTTTCAATAGTTCTTTCAAAACTTCATGAGGTGCAATGACATATGAGTTCACTTTTACAGGGTTGTGTTCGCCAAGTTTAACATTATACTTAAAGCTTGACAAATCTTCTCCTGAGTTTGAAGTTTGTCTTTCAGTTGTTGGTAGTCGTTTCGAATATCTGCAACAGAACTTAAGTCTCTGTTAACTTCAGGATATGTTGGTTCTTTTACAGGAACAATTGTTATACCATCTTCGTCTTCGTATGGTTTCCCCACTTCAACATCTCTGTCTTTGACATTGACAATAACACTTTGACTGTTTGTTTGGGTTGGTGAATTTAACTTAACATCTGCCACCGCCATTAAACCTTTTGAAACACTTACGCTTCTATTTTTCGGAAATGACATTTTACTTAGAATAAAAAGATGGACGTATTCGGATATCTTATTGAATTGAAGCAGAACAAAGTTTATACTCACAAACAATACAAATACATTGACAGAATAGTTCTTTACACAAACAATGGAAAATGTTATAGAATAGCAGTCTTTGCTGAACCTAAATATTTTCATAAAGCAAAGAAAGTTGGTATAACTGAAATGGTGAAAGTTCTTGAAGCAGACAAAAATATAACTTCAAAACTTACAGATATTACTAAAGGAAAGTTTATAATACAATATTATGTCAAAACTGGCGTACTGTCAATATTTGACGGAGAGAAGTCAGTTCAAGAACAACTTACTGACCTGCTGCCAAAATCTGCTCGATGGAAGCTGTCGTTATGCCAATCTGAGGAGCCCCAGCAGGTTTCATCGAACGAATCTTCAAAAGAGCATCTTCCGTGAAAAGTGCTATTGGTTTTGTAAACTTCTTTGCTCTCAATTCATCTGGACCGTCTCTGTCACCAGTATATTGTATTTGAACTGTACCAACAGTTGAAATACTACCCATAAAGTCTTCTGAGTCAGCAAATGGAATGCCAAGCCAAAAGTTTGAACGGTCTCCATTTGTATATTGAGTTTTTTGACCTCCTGTATGAGTCCATACTTTCACATATGGCATAATAGAACTTTGCATTTCAGGGTTAATAGTTGTTGTGAAGTTGTTGTTAAAGTTCATAGCATCTAATGTCAAGTTGTATGACCTCATATCCTCAACTGTAGAATATTCTTCTCTTGGATAATATTTGCCATCTATGTTTATATGATATTTAATACCAGGGTTGTAGAAACAAGAATAGTCATTTATAGTTCGTCTGAACAGTACAAACATAGTATCTGCATGTTTCATTGCAGTTGTTAAAGCAATATCTGTTCTTGCACCTGCGGCTCCTGGATTTTGGTTTCCAACTTCACCTGCAAAGTCTTTGACAGATATTTGGTGTATAGGGAACATAAGTGGAACTGCAATATATTTGGCAGCTAAAGCATTTGAAATATCTGGGTCCAACATATAGACTGCAAGTCTGCTTTCTATTCTCTTGCATTCAAATTTTTCGCATGTGAACTTAACTGGGTCCCAAGCAGTTCCAGCAGCATTGAAATAATAGTTTACTTCATTGTTGAAGTTTGAGAAACCAAAGTCTAAGTCAACTTTGTCTTTGCAAAATTCGACGAATGACGTTTGATTTGTTCCCTTTACGTCTGTAATAGTGAATGGGTCTTGTGTTGGTGCAATGACTAAGTTATTTTTGCTTGGAGTAAGTTCGATAGAAATTTTTCCTGCCCAGTTTGGCAAGTATCTTAAAAACCTGAAGATGAGGAAAGATGACAAAGGAACTCTAAGTTTCAGTTTTACTTTAGTGGCAGCAGTTCCATCTGAACCAGAAAGGTTAACATAAACTCCTGGAACGTTAGGGTCAAGTCTTCTTATTTTCTCAATAGTTGCATACTGGTCTGTTTGTTCTCTAGCTTGTGGTTGTACTGAGTTTCTCAAAGCGAACCATTCATAGTTTGCCCATGTTACTGTTTGAACTAAGTCAGAGTTAGAATATATCTTATATCCCATGAAAACTTCTGGAGCATATTGGTATCCGACATAGAAAATTCCATTGCAACCTTTCTTGTCAGACAACTTGGAAGAAGGTTTTATTTCAATGTCTTGTTCCACGTATAAGAATGAGTTGTCAATAGAAATAATATGAAACCTGTCGCAAGCAATATCTACTGTTGTTGAAGAACCTTCTCCAAACTCACCTACGTTTCCATAAGAAACAGCAGTTGTATATTCGTAAGTTCCAGGAACTATTTCTGACCTTCTAATGGCATTATCGCATTCGTTATACCATTCGGAAACATTTCCGTTCATGGCATCCAAAACTGTTGGCGTTATATTCTGAGCGGCGTACATTTCATATGGGTAAAAATATAGAATAGTTGGATTTATATGTCATAATAGAACCCACTCGGACCAAGCTTTACTTTCTTCCTGACTGAGTTTTTAACTGAATCTTTAACTCTTCTTTTTCCTTCATTGCCACTACTTTCACTAGATGAAGTTACTTCTTCACTACTTTCACTTTGTTCTACT